ATTTATCACACGAAATAAATGCAACTTCTAATTGATCTTGAAAAATTACTCGGCCAAAATGATTTTGAAAGAGAAATCTTGTCCCATAACTGTACAATAGACGATCGAAGTTTTAACTTTGACCTCAATTATCTCGTAAACTGTTGATCGCAGAATAAAACAAAACCATTGATTGAAATGCTCATCAAAAGATGAACCAGAATCTAATAATTAATTCGTTAGTTGTCAAATAAATGGACAAATAATGTTGATCGAATCCTAAACCCATTCTTAGGCTTCACAAAACTGGTAGCTTAGAGTGTTGTGCATGTTTTACTAAGGATCTCAATTTACTAACTGCCTAAAATTGGCTTTAAGAGTTAAGAGTAAGAATTTAGAATTACAATTCTTGAACAATTCAACTATCCATGCAATTAAACGAAAACTAAATAATCTTTCGTCCAGATCAATCTTTAAATGACCATTTTAAGCTATGATTTTGTTTCATTCCGACATAAACCTTTTCAACAAGACAAAAGCTAACAATTATTGTAAGGATTTTGTTTTTTGGGTTTTCTCATTATGAATTTGGGTCTTTTCATATTGACTGTCAAATATGCCGATTTGAATAATCAAATTATTGATTCGCATAACAATCAATGAATAAGAAACCCAATTTCCCCATTAAAATTGAATTCCACCGGTTCTATAACCTAATCACAATCATCCTAATTACCTTTTATTGCTTTTCTTTAGCTTCGTTTATTCAATTAATAGGCATAATTGTGCATTTTTTTGCATATAAACTCGAAACAATAGACTGGCAATATTTACTTTAATTGCTAAGAATTCATTGAAATAATTCATAAAATAGCATCTGATATAATGAAATAGCAAATTCAAATTGCAAAAATGTCAAATAAGTTTAATAAACCAATATTTTTGTTCATTTAGTTTTTACTTTAATATTAACCAGAAAATTTTTTGCTCATTTACAATGTTAAGCTTTTTTTTCGCGTTGTCATTGAATTTCAAGACCATTACTTGATTCTTGTCAACATTGATTTCATCTGAAATATTTGACTCAGCAGGAAAAAACAAAGAATGTAGTAAAAGATGAAGATGATGATAATAATAAGGATGATAAAATGAAGAGGTAAATTCAATTTCACTCCAGAATCGATCGAGAATAACTTGATATTACAAGTACTTTCATAGTTGCTTTACAGCTCAATGGAAGCACTTATCTCGTCTTTTTTATATCAAAAACAAATGGAGTCTAATTGTAATAATATAACCTCTAAATCGATTGACCATTTTTTGAAATAAAGTTACAGTAAAGACCAGAAGCTTGAAAAAATGTTACACTGAGTGGACAGAAACTGTCAAACGGGTTCCACCCAACAGGGAATCCAACCTTGATCATAAGTTATTAATATGATAATTATGATTTGTCGTGGTTATAACTATCAATATCAGCAATTACTTAACAAGTATCTAATTTATTTACCTTGCTTCCCTCAAATTACTCAACCTTACCTATTTTTTTCTGGTTAATGAATGTATCTATTATTAGGTCTAATTAAATAATAGCTCATTAATAGTTATAGATGTTATATAAATAAGTTCATTAAAGTAAAATTTGATTGACTCAATGAAAATCATGAATGTAAAGATATAGAGATGTAAACCAACACAGAATCTGAACAAGTTCCTTCGGTGGTTCAGTTAAACTTGTCTTTGACTTTTTCATAAGATACACTTGATTTATATTGTAATTACGATCATTAGCCTTGGAGCTTCCGATAATCTAAATACAATTAGTTAATTCTGAATATTCAAATGGTTAAAACAAATCAATCAAAATAAAGATTTGGTTGGCTTTGTTTTACATTAGACTTTTTTTCTGGTATTCACAGGCCTTAATCTCAAGGGTAACCAGATTTTTTCTTATCATAGACTAACACGTTTCACTATTAATACAATCAATTAATCAACATGACATCGGAAGTAAACACAGTAATCAGTTAACATTAATCCAGATAATCAAAGTGTCTTGGAATGGGAATTAAACGAAACAAATAGTAAACAGTAAACACATAACAACAATTTACAAATGCGACTCTGGTTACCCAAACAGGTGACAACGGTAAGGCTTATTTATCACACTATTCACGTTCAATCACATTGACTGGACAGTCCACTTTTGATTAATGGATACAAGGTAAATGGAGTTACAATTATCGACTAAATTTTCATCAATCAAATAGCATCTATTTATACAATGATAGTTTAAATCTTAATGGGCTAACGATGAAAACTAACTGGGAAACAATTTGGCAATGAAATATCAACAACTTAACAGTCTTAATTGCAAATGGCTGTAAATGAAACCCAATTTTAACTCGTTAACTTCATAATTTGATTATTTTTCATCCATTTGCTTCTAATGCTAGCTGTAATCCTTTTGTTTCATGAAAACATTTCAATGTATTTTTCAGTGTATCATTAGTGACATTCAAATGCTGTTGTAAAATTAAAAGCTAAATGACAGCTTTGAATCAGATAAACGTTGAAAATTAGTCTGATTTAGGGTTATTTGATACATTTATTGAGCCTCAAAATGTATCTCAACATTATCTCAATACTTGGCAACAAAATTAAAAACAAAACAAGAGTTAATTGATCAAATTAAAGTTTATTTTTTCAACCAAAAAGCTTCAAAAAGACAACATTTCAAATCATTCAAATGAATATCAATAGCAAAATGATGGATCCTTTGGCTTTATATTTTTCTCAGCTTCCTCGAAACAAAGTAATCATCTTATTGATTTGTTTAACAGGTTGATAACTGATGGAAACTGAATTGTTTTACTTGATAATGTTATCATTTATATTCAATGAAAAGAAACCAATCCAATTACAGTTGATAACTATCACCATCAAGACATCCATTGAAGTATGGCAAATATTGAATGGTTGAAACCAGCAAACAATCGCCGGTTCAATTTTGCTGCCAATGAATCAAATCAGTATTTATATTTCCTCATCATTTCACGATCTGATCAAGTTACTTGTTATACTTCAACCTCTCAACCTACCAAAGTCCCTCTTATCGGATTAACTTATGTGTGTTGTTAGCCCTAATTTTGTGCCACATTTTCACCAAGTTTCACTTTGAATTGACTTGAAGTAACTTAAATCTCTTTAATCATTTGACATGTTGACCTTCTTGATTGTCCACTGTGCTTAATTAACCGACATTTGTCAGTGAAATTAATCCCAAACAATAACATGGTAAAATAAGGTTGTATCATTTCATTTTGTAATACAGAGAGGATCAGGTTAACAAGATAAGTCAACACCTACACTAATCAACTTTCAAATCAACAAAATCAGCAAAAATTGCACAAATCCCTGTTGAATGTTTAATATTGTTTGTTTCATTCCCTTCCCTATCAACATATCATCAACTTTAATGGCCTATTAATATGAGCAAATTTACAATTAATTATTTAAAAATAGTTAAGATGCTTATCAAGTCAACAGGAAAAGGCGTGAGTTGATCCATTAGTTGAAACAAGATAGATCAAAACACAGGCAGAACTGGCATTACAAATAGCAAATGTATCATGATTTCAGCATTGAAAACAAATCAGTTTGAAATATATTTGATGTCATTGATTAAATAGACAAATAAACATCGATAATTCAGATCACATAGGCCTCAGAAACATCTAATTGATTTTACCCATTACCTTGAGGATTGATCACTGGTCATTTAACATTCATTAGACAAGATATGGGAAATGTGTTCGTAAATGATTATTCAATGTTTTCGATACACATGAATGTTGTGAGGTTTTTGGAACCTTTTTGATGTGAAAAAATCGGATAATCTTTGAGTTATTCCAAGCTGCTCTGGCTATTCAAGTCTTTACAATATTAATTTAAAGCTCTGAATTTATCAATAATCATTTATTCTCGTTCATATCAAAAGTCGGAAGGCGTTTGTTTTATGAGTTTAATATAGTGATGAAAATTCCAATGATATGATTTTTGATCAAATCACTTGATTATTGATCTACAATAATTTACTTCAGGTGAAAGATTGAATTCAATATCATATAATTCATATAATCATATCATTCAATATCCAATTTTATACTAACAATGATTTAATAAAAGGTTTGATCCCCTTATCCCCATGACTTTTAAAGATTGATTTTTTACAGACATTTTATTTGAATCTTAAACTGTATGAACAAAATATGATTGATATTGACATGTTTGGAAACTTGAGCAAATTAAAGCTAAAAGATGTTTTCCGTCTATCAACAAGTTTTCATTCATATATTATATTGAAACAAATAACCTTTTCAAATAAATTAAATATTAATTTGAAATTCGTTGATCAATAAACATGTAATATTGTTTACCTTTTTCCAACGGAATCACACAGAAATTGAAAAAAATGTAATTGGAAATATTTTGATTGCTTTGATTCAGGGTTTGTTTTGGATGCTTAGAATGGGTTCAAGTTTGGGTTTACAAGGGTTAATTAACTCACCTAATGGTGTCATAGCAGCTCCACATTGGGTACTATTATAAACATAAGCAGCAATCACTGCATTCATGATTAAGTCAGAAACGGCAATGTTTAAGCTCAAAGTGTTACGACCATTGCGAAGGGCTTTGACTCTGGTTTTTTGGGTGAAATGTAAGGTTTAAAGTAAACATTATTGGTTGAACATTGGATTGAATCTTTTGGGTTAATAGGGTTTATTGGGTTTTACAAGATGGGTTTACTTACCTACAATAGAGGTAGATGATTGTACAATTACCGGTCAATCCAAAGATTAATACAAATGAAAAAAGTGCGGCAATGGTGATGTTAACTTGACATGGGATTGGCTCAAAGTTGAGCCAGTAATCGGGTGCAGATGATATAAGGTCAGGATGAAGGAAACGAAGCCAAGCTAGGCGTATTGGATTAGTTTCATTAGTTGAATTGTTAATTGTACTTGAATTGGTCATTGTAAAATCACTGATATAAAAATGGATTCTTCAATTGTTTTGACTTGTTAAACACGTTAACTGTTTTCTGGGTATTTACTGAATTGCTTTAAATTTTGGCTTAATTGTGGTTGGAAAAAAGTTCAGTTGAAAGGCAGTTTGGCAATTGAGTTGATTTAATGGTAATTATTGGCTGTAAAAGATTAATTTGTTTGAAATTTAATGATGTAAACATGGAGTTACAATGAAGACTAAACTTGTTAACAATAAACACTTTTCAGGGTTAGATGAGGATGGTCTTGTTTTTGGTAGTTTTGGTAATGTCAACTGGTTGTATTTGATTAACATGGTAATAGTTTGGGTTGGTGGTTTGAGGTGGAAAGCAAGTTTAAAAAGTTATCCTCAGTTTAAGTGTTTTTCCCTTTGGTTAAAAGGTAAAGAAGCAAATTGTGAGAGCAAATAGTGATTCCATGAAAAAATGCTAACATTACCTTAAGGAAAGGCGAGATTGCGCGAGTCAGGGAGAGTAAGATGATGAAAATGATGAGGATAAAAGGATGAAGATTGTTTCTCGAACAAAAAGACTCAAAGTAGGCAAAATTTGATGGCAAAAGAGCGACTTATTAGGTTGTTAAATTGATGGTTAACAGTCGACTGACGGATGGTGATGTAAAATGAACACTTTTTACACAATTGTTGAATTGTTAGCTGATTTACTCGTAACAATTTTACTGTTTAATTTGCTCATTATCTTTGACTTCAACAATCAAATTTTTTTCCATTAATTTGTTAATGATCCACAAATTCAATCAAACTAGCAGCTAGAATTGAATTTACAAAGTGAATATCATATTTAATGATCTAAGTGTACCTTTACTGTAGAGTTGAAAAGACAAGCTGTGAAAAGCAAATTACCTTTATTAATTTAAAATTTGATTGATAATGTATTCAGTCAATTTGATTCAGTTAAATGTTCAAGTGTTTAAATCAAATTGCTTGAAATTATTTAATTTTCTCTTCTTTCAACTGCCAACATTTACATTGTTGAACTATCTTATTCAATTTTCATCTAATAGCAATTCATTTACTTATATTAATTTCAATATTTTTGCTAATAAAGATTTTTGCTCAATTGCAATAGTTTATTGATTATTGATTGGATTTGTAGTTAGTCTGATCGAAGCTAAAAGTATTATAAACAGTGAATAATTCGAAGAATTCGTGATTGTAACTCAAGAACCCGGAAACAGTTCACTTGCAAACTTGTCGATATTTGAGGTACGATTGAGATGCTTTGCTGAAGATAATTTTGATCTGATAATGGCACCGTACAATACGATTTTGGAAACGAATTTTTCCCAAAACAAGGATTTACTAGAGATAAACGTTTTTTTCGAGTGCTTAAGGAAATTGTTAAAAAGTTTGAAGACCCCAGTGCACCAGTTGTACACAATGCGGACTTACCTTATTCCTGATTGGTTAGTGCGTTACCCTAAACTGGCCATATATAAACTCAGTTTAACTCTCTTGAGAGACTTCTCTAGGTAATTTAATCGCTGATAGTTGATACCTTTTCAACGATCACAATAAAATTTTCAAGGTCAAATAATTGAACTGGTCAGTTTTTTTGCTTTTTTAAATGCTGAAACTTAGCAGTCCAATTATTTGACCTTGAAATCATTCAGTAGCCTTAGTTTTACCTCTAATATCGTTATGAGCAATTTTTGACAAATGAACTTAAATGAGCTTGACCTTGAAATATAGCAAATAAGTATCGCCGAAATTCGCTTATTAAAAATCTGAGGCCTCAAGGTCATTCAGGGCTGCACAATAGGCGTTCAACATCGGTAGAGATAGCTGAATAGCCCGCTAGTTTTGATTACAATTCATCAGACAACAAATCAAAGGAAATTAAAGCGATGTATTCTTTCGAACTTGACAAAGATGGTGATTGTATATTATTTATATCCAATCGATACAATGCATATACAATATATATTCAATCTGGTGCACAAGTGTTTCACTTACTTTTTCACTAATAGATCGAAAAAGATTGCAGACACAAATATTCATTGATTTACAACAGCTGAATAGTTTATTATACTTATAGTAAACGATAACGATGACAATAACAATAATATTAATAACAAGAAAATTTAAAAAGTTGAAAAAATTAGATATTATTCAAAGAAGAGGTCAAAGAAAAAGAACAGAATTAGAATTGGAATTTAAAGATTAGTATTTTGCCAAACTGTCTAGATGAGACTTGGCTACTTCTAATACTGATCAGTGTTAATTTTATTGGCCAAATGGCCTGTTATATGGCCTGATCAATCACTATTGACATGTTTCACTGCGAATTCGTTTGGTTCAAGCGCTCTAAATAATTTGAATACTGCACGTTATGGGACATGGTCTGAACGATCATCTTTATGCGGCGGGATTGCGATTTCAATTTCATAACAATAATCAAAATTTGTACTTGTACAAAGGTAATCGATTTCAAATCCCTTACACCCCTATCTTTCCATTCACAGGTCCGCAAACCAGACTATAGTAACAAATAACATAATTGCTTTGGTTTTTCTGCTTCAAATTTTCTAGAGGGATCGATACCGCTAACATAATAAAATCAATTCAAATTCAAATTAAGATCACCAGCCAAAACCAAACCATCAACTGCTGGCATGATTCTGTTTCGGCTGTCATATCCTCCTAACTGGAGCCTAAAACAGCAGCAAATAAATTGACCATATATTGTTGAACACCAGATAGACCTGAGCAGATCTGGTGTCAATTAATTATTACAAGTCGTTTACTATCGTGTTCGACAACAGCAGCTATAAAATCAGATCTTTCTATGGCAAAAGTTTGAATAAATCCAGTAAAATCTTTACTGCTGAAGCAGGTAACATTGTTATAAACTTGTGAATACTTCCAGGCAGCTCTTTTTTTGGCGACGTTTCAGCTTTCTTGCCCATTGTCATCGCATACCCTTGATTAAATTCATTCATAACACTGACTGGGGCTCCTGAAAACACAAAACACAACGAATATCAGAATACGTGCCATGTGAATTGCAGAGATAATTACGCTGGTGAAGTTGTTCAACCTACTTGCAGCAAGCGTCGCGAAAGAAAACCACTTGAAAACAATATATGGCAAAAGGCGAAGCTAGAATCCTTGGAAGTTACTTTGTAACAATCTTTTATCCAATTACGATCTTTTATCCAATTACAGTCTTTTACCCAATTATAAATTGAAACTAAATTTCAAAATACGAATTACAATGCTCAAACTGTTTATCTAAATGCTCAAAATCAATAAACCGATTCTTCATTGTATAATCTTGTTTCCTTTATTCAATTGAATTCACTTACAGTGCGTCCTCGCTTAAGTTATAATTTTTGTGGGTGAAGCTTAGGGCAGAAAGTCAAAAGATGGCTCTGTTCTACTAATTTTCTAGTAGCAACTTACAATGGTCCCAACAATTTATAATTGCTTGAGAAGTTAAATCAAATCAACTTTCAGAAATAATCTTAATCACTTCAACTAAATCAATACATTTTGCTATATCGTTTCCATTGCTAACCCACTTAGCCAGTAAGTTAACCAGTTTACCCATTGAGCTAAAACGCTTACCAAAAAATATAACTTAACCGAGGATATAACTTAAGCGAGGACGCACTGTAGTTGTGTTGCATTGGCCTTCTCATTGACTCTCGGCAACAGTCTTTGTTGTCCGTATCTTTGCAGTATCATATACAGTCAGGATACTGACAAGCGCGTGTTAGATACTGGCAAGATATGGACAACCAAGACTGTTGCCGAAATGAAACCTGAAAGGAAAGTGAAAGACTCATTCGATAAATTGACAATTAAAGTGCATTTAAAAAATAGTTGCAATGTTTTAATTATTTTGACAAATTTATTGAATTAAGTTCCAAAGAATTAATAATGAAAATCGAAATCAAATATAGTAGAAGATCGAAGAAATAGCAATTAATTTTTATCAATATTGTACTCGTTTTTTTTAACGAATTCATTGCGTTCGATCCAGCAATCAGGGTTTATGTGTTTTTCAAATTCATCCCAAGACCATTAGCCGATGTTGCAGGCACTGCAAACAATCAGCACATTGTTCCACAGTACATAGCCGCCAAGTACATCATCGTGAGTGGATTCAAATTCTCTGTCGCACACACAATTTTCATAATGACATTTGTGGTCATTTTTTTCAAGGGAGTCACTCACGATTGATTCGAGTCTGTGGAGACTTATGATTTTTCTCGGGGTGATCTCGAGAAGTTGAAACATGATTGATTTTTTGTCAGAATTTTGGAGATGAGGTGAGTAATAACTGTTGCTGGTATTACGCAGTCAGCTTTAATCTGCCTAAGCCACTAAGTGACGTTCAGAAACAGAAAAATTTGTAATGCAATTGGCTAGATCAAAATTGGCAATCAATTTATTTGCCAGTTCTCACGGCCTTACAACTCAGTATGTTCTGTGTCCTGAGATTATCCTGAGGTAGCGAGTCAACTCGAGGTTGTACCAAGTCCCAACCAGATAGGGTATACATGGGAATGTGATAAGATTAGCGTTACTGTTGCTGAGATTAGTCAGTCAGCATTAATTTGCCTAGCCACTGAGCCAATAAGAAAATTGAATCAAACGTACTCAATCAGTATTTGTATTATCTGCGTTTAGGCAAACACTTTTCCTCAGGATGGTCTTGCACACGAGATCAAGTTACAAGTTACAAATGTTTTAATTGAAAAAAATCAAATCCACATGAACATCACTGTATATGTAGCATCTGTCCCACAGTTCAACAAGAAACCGAAAAGGCTATGGCTAATACAGACAACAATTACGATGATCTTTATTTAAATGAAAATCATTGAAATTAATACATAAAAAATGTTTCAGCAATGTTTAAAATGCAAAATGTCAAAGTTTTATGTAGCGCCTACTTTGAAAATTTTTTGATTGCAGGGCGTTTTTTGGTAAATCGTCAAGCTCGAAAAAGTATTATATTCTGATCTTTTTATTATTTAATCAGAAAAAATTAAAATTCCAAAAATCTTCTTAATGCTTGATGGTTGCTGAGGCCTCGAGCTCATCTTCCAGTTGTGGCTCTCATTTTCTTTGTTTCCTATGTAATAATTCCTGTGTAACTTTAACAAAGTTAGTTAAGAAATTTGTTAATAACGGTTTTATTAGGATGGCAGTGAATTATTGTCAACAGATATTGAAAATTTTTTATTAATTCAGCTGAGGTAGAAACTGGAAATTATTGTAACTGCTCGGAAAAAGATCTGACGAGGACTAAAAACAAAATTAGCAAATTAAAAGTAAATCGCTCGCTCAGACTACCCCGACTTCCGGCTGATCCTTTAAGGCTGTAAAATAATGAACTGTATCACATTACCAAAGCTTTACACAAGTTATTAATAAAAAAATTGAGAATAGATAATATTCTGAGAGCAATGTATTTCATGATGATAGTTTATAAGCAAAAAACTTTTTTATCATGAAGGTAGCAACAAAAAAGATGAAATTTTCATTGAAAAAAGGAGTGAATGCATGATAAAAATGTATATAAAATCTCATAGGAACAAGACTCTAAATTGGATTGAAGGTTAAGTGTAGCAAACAGATTATTATTATTCTTGTTTGCTTGGTTGACTTTAACTAATACTTTCAGACAAAATCAATCCTTTTTTATCCTTTTTTATAAATCAAGTCACAGTCAAACATTTGAGTGTGTAACTTGGAGGAACCATTGTAATCTAATTGTTGTGAGGTTTACTTCTTGGGTAATATTTTGAATAACCATTTGAGTCTTGTTCATACATTCTTGTTATACAGTCACCATTGAGATAATGCACCATCGAGATAATGCACTCATTTTTTCAATGGTCCCTATTGAGGAGGAGTTATATCGTCTTTTGAATTTCGTCAAATTTTGATTCGATTTCTTTAATTATCAATTGATTTAATTCAATTTCCTTTCGTGAAATTTTAATCCAAAAACTCGCAAAAGTAAATTAAAGCAAAATTAAAGGTTAAATTTGATCTAATAAGGAAGATTGAAAATCATGAATTACGCTGCCCGAAGAATAGTGAAAATAAGCTATTCCCAGTGCGGTGCATTATCTCAATGGTGACTGTACATTAAATCAGTCATTCTCGATTGTGAGCAGCTTTAATCAACAGTTTTAGGCAATTTCCGATCTCGAAGTCAGGTAAACAGTTTTGTTGGAATGAAAATTGAGTGCTTTGGTCGATTGAAAATAATTTACAATTTAATTATTCAATTTGGGTTAAATGTACATCGAGCTGTGAAACAAGTCCGCTAGATGGCAATATATTGGTTGTAATATACATTCATTTATTGGTTGCATAGTCGATTGTTACAATCATTTAGTCATTTGGTTAATTTGGGTTATGATTGGTATAGATTTTCAGTGCATACTATAACTTTGGGATTGAACTTCGAATAGAAGATTGTTTAGGAAAAACGGCACGCCATTAAAAACTAGTGTTTTGTGAGGTACAGCGTTGAAAATATGTCATTCTGTGTTTGGTCCCCTCAATGAGTGTGATACACACATGTTATATTGTTGAATGTTGAATAATTGACTGATGTAATTAAGTTGCTGGTAAAGATCACAATTATAAATATCAAGAATTGTACAAAAAAAATCGAAAATTCTGAGAATGAATGTGAAGAATGAATGTGGATGGGTGTATAAACTAATGCAGCAGGAAACCAGTTTTATGAATCATTCAGAGTAACATCACCGGCTCTATGGTCAATTAAAACTAATTATGCTTATCAAATTGTTAATGTGATTTGCTGTTTGATCAAGCCTTTTTTATCCAATCCATCAGGTAGGTTGCTCCAGTTGTTTGTGATTAGATTTATGGAACTTGGCACAAAATTTTAAACATTTGTTCAAAGGGTAGTTACCAGGCACTCCGTTGTTATCAACCGAAACTTGAATTGGTAATAATTAAGGTAGATAATTGATCTTGCCCCATTAATATTCATTGTAGAGATTTGTAGATGAACACCAAATTTCATACAGCAGCAATTCTGTTCTCTTTTCTTTTTGAAACCTCGGTAACGGTAACCTTTTTACTTGTGGTTTTGGTAATTGTTGATCTGTTGTTGCCTTCAATTGTTGTGGATGAACTTGTAAACGATTCGTCTAAAACTGGAATCACTTTACTAACCATTTCAATTTCGTCTTTGGCTGAACTTCGGTAACCATTATGATGACCATTAGTCAGAGGAATACCATTGATTTCGGGAGTGACCAAGATTACTCCAGGATGACCTTTTTTGATAGTCTTTACTTCAGTTTCATTATCTATACTTTTATTAACATCTTTATTCCTTTGATCAACCTTTGGCAGATTAGCGGATAAATTTTCAACTGCAGCAGCACTTATGTGACTATTGATATTATTTTTGACTACATTTTGGTTTTGATCGACATGACCTTTGATTACCCAAGATTCAATGTCTTCAAGAACAGATAATCGGCGGTCCCTATAAAAATCTGAATTAGTTGTTGCCGTTTCATCGCTCATAAATGAAGAAATGGATGGATAACGATTGATGTTAGCATCAATATAAGAGATTTGCCCATCAACGGCATCAATTCGTGGATCAGCTTTTGTTTTATTGTGTTTTTTTGAAGTAATTGCAGCTTCTTTAACAGGCATGAGACTTCTAATTGGTCCAAATAATCTGCCTACTTTGACTTTGGGTTTAGATTTAGCTTTAGCTTTAGCTTTAGAAAGATTTTCTGAAAAAAGAAGAAAAAATAAGATTAGTTGAATTATGACTGAAAATTCTGATCAATAGATATTATAAGCATTAACAGTTTTAAAATAGACGAGTTTTGAAGCATAAAATAGCAGCAAAAATTCAACAAGATTTGATTAAAGTGATGTAATTATCAAAAATTTCAAAGTGAATCACACCAACAAGATATTACAACTCATATCTAAATTGTTACAAATTGTAAAGTTCACTTGGCTTGTATTCAGCTAGTCTGGTTTGTCATACTTTTTAATCATTGTACTTCTCACAGTCATCATCATCTGCTTCATAATCATTATCATCTGTGATTTTTTCCCTGATTTTTCATCTTCAATTCTTTTTTCTCTCAAATTCTATCGTATTTTAGCGTGACCCTGAAGATGATGGTTATGAAGAGGAATTTGATTTCCATTCAAATAAAAAGTAGGGCTTCGTGGGTTGTCGCCTTGTCACTTCACCAGCAATAAGATGAATACAATACAATCTGCAAGGTTAATCAACAACAACAGTTTACTTTAGCCTTGCTCATCTTTCAAAGATTCATTATCCTTTCTTTTGAGAATAACATTTTCTATGAGAAAACATTATCATCCGTCATAAAATTTGATAATTTCATGCATCTGAATGAATTGAATGAGGAGAAAAAGAATGAATAAAACTTGAGCTAACAAACGGTAAAACAAGATACAATTTTTTCATGGCTTATTGACATTATGAGGAAATAAAGTTGATCGGTAAGCTTAAGCTTTACTGTGAAAGAATATGAGAAAAAGAAGAAAAAAAATGATGAAAGCGTTCATCAAATGCAATTGAGTATTAAAACAATAAATCAATCTCAATTAGTTGTAACAACAATTCAATGCATTGATGAAATTGAAGGACGTCTACATGTGAAAAGTTGATTGTACAATTGATTTAAACACCGTCAACATTGGTAACAGAAATAAACATTGATTGCATTACGAACTCACTAAGGCAGCACAAACAAATGCACACATTCAAGTGAAATAATAAACAAACTGACGAGAAAAATTGAAGCTTAACACATCATACAGCACACAAGTAAAATATTGTTACATCGTGTTACATTATCGTCTATTGTGAGGGTGATTCTGATTGCAATCAAAATGTTGTCGTCTGTTTGTTTCGACCAAAGATTGTGAAGATTGATGATTTAACACCCAACTTACTCTCCATTTCCCATGGTTTGTAGGAGACTTTTTTTGATTCTCTTATATCAGCAATTATAGTTATTAACCGACGAGTGTAGTAGATGATGAATCCTAACAATAGGAGAGCGAAAAATGAGAATAACCACGTTTCTAAAGCGTAATAGGAAAACATGGCTACACCAGGAAGAATAACAAAAAGAAAAAAAGGAAAAATAAATTCAGTCAAAAGCTGAGATGCATAGAAGTACGTTGGTCGCGTAAATTTTAAATTCAATGATGAACATGAAAGTTGATTGTATACAAATTTGCTCTCCTTTTGTTCAGTTGATCATTATTTTAGGTGAAAAACAACACTGAATATTCTGTTAACACTGGAAACATACATAAGTGTTGAAAACAAACTTGTTCAGATGTTGATCACATTTTAATTTTCTATGTTAGTGAAGCTCTTGATAATATCGTTGGTAGTGCTGGATGATGTTGGTGGTAATATTGAGATGGCAATGGCACAGTAGTAAACAAAAAAGAGCTTTTCCTTGTTTTTGTTTCAAATCAGTCACAAATGATGATTAAATGATTCAAATTAAGTTAGAATGTCATTTGGTATAACGTAAAAATAAGATGAAACGAGCTGTTGCAACGATCCAATTCTCATGAAGAGGAAAGAAAGTGAGAAGATGATAATGATCGTGAGGCTGGATGCTACTGGTGATTGATGAAAAAAACGCAAAGTTGATTCAATTACAATGGAAATAAGTATAACTCCGTTGTGTTTAACCTCGATCTCTATTGGATTAATTAATAAACCGTCACGTGATTATTGTTCACGTCTTGTTTCTCCTTTTCTTTGCATAAGCAACATCAAACCATTAAGTAACCATTTTATCCATATTAAATAAACTTCTGGAGCATATTTTGAATCACTCTTGATCAATGTTTAATAAACATTACATCAGCTTGACACATTAAATTGTGGTTTAGGCAGAATCCAGGAACAGAAAAAAATCTCAAAAATAGTAACTGGCACTGGTTCCTAGATTAACAGTAACCTGAGGCAAAGAGAAATCAAGAGTTAAATATATAAATCTTAGCACATGAAGTTAGTTTAGATTTTTAATGAATTAAAAGAGGTAAAAAATATCATCTTACCTTGTTTACTCCCTTTAATAGCGGATTGTTGTGTGAATGTGTAACCTTCATCAGAAAAAAAAGAAGGGAAAATGATGAAAAAAAAATAGAGAGTGAAGAGTTTCGCGGTAGCGTTGATACACTCACACACAAAGGAGGAGCAAACTCATCAAAAACATGAAAATCAACTAACCAATCAGGTTTATCATTCTGTTTAGCAAACCATGAATCCTTAAATCACTTCATGTTGATTATTTGATGATAAATAAGTATTCAGTAGAAGAACGGCAAAAAAAGAAAGTGTTGGTCGATTGATAGACATTTTAACTTGAAGAGAGAGAGACAGCAAACCAGAAAAGAAGATACAAGAATAAATCCGTTAGATAAAAGGTTGACCGATTGACTAACATTTTCCCTCTTTTTCTTTTGTTAAAGATAACACTCTTTGAACTCTTAGTGTTCAAAGGTTTACACTTACTTTTTTCTGGTAACAGCAAAAAAAATGTAAAAGCTGATAACAAAATCAAAATAGATCATCAAAATGGCACTTGGCTATAAGTGGTTATGAAAGAGAGAAATGGCGACTGAAACAATGGCAATTGAAAGTTACATTTTGATTCTTTTGCGACAGAAGTGATATTTTCATGTTCCAAACTTACCTTTGTGTTTAGTGTTTTTTTTCTGTTGATATAGTTGCCTTGGATAATCAAAGATGGTGATTATTTTTAACTAGATTTAATCATTATTCCGTAAATTGGTTATACAGTTGATTTATTTTTCCTTAAAAGCTGTAACAAGGTAAGATGGCGATGAAAAAACAAACACACACAGAAGAGGCTAGTCTGTACCTTAAGTCCTTTACGATCCAAATGGTCTCATGATTT